CACTGATCCACTCAAGACTAAAAAGTCTACAAAAACATCTATTTAATTAATAAATTGCATTGTGCGAAAGTGCAACGTGCATGTGAATTAAAAAAATGGACACGAGCAAGCAAGCAAAAGTTTCAGCACATTGCTATCTTCAGTACTCACTTAACCAACAACAGTCACCCTTTTTAAGTAGGTCAACAATTAAAGACAATCAGCGGAATTCAATTATCTCCGGTAAACCTCAATTAATCACAAGCAGAATTCCAAGAAAGTTTGATCATTCACATATATAGCAGAAATGTACAAGTATACAACTTCAAAGAATGACCAAACATTACAAATACTACACAGCAGGAGAGAGAGAAGATAAAGCAGTAAACGACAATACCAAGTTATACAAAAAAAACGAGAGTTCTAGTTCTTCATTCATACATTCAGGAAATAAAGATTTATGTTCAAAGATCCAGAAAGCCTCCCTTTGCAACAACTTCTTATCTCTATCTCCGCCTCTTCTATGAGGTAGAATCCTCTCGATGCCCAGGAACTTCATGTCAGACAAAAAGTGGTTGGCAGACTTAAAGTGACGAGAAATTGAAGATGTATCATCCTGTCTCCTAATGGCACTTGTGTGTTCAATCATTCTTGTGCGTAATGCACTCTTGCTCATTTTCAAATATCCTACTGGCTCTACGCACCTGCAGTACAAGGAGCTCTTTTTTTTTTTTTGGAGCGCTACAATTTTCTTGAGTTTTAAAGTTTTATTAATGAAATGCACAACAACACTTTTTGTCAATTAAATGTGCTAAAAATGTGCCATTGCTGCTATATTTAGCTCTGAATTACTTTTTTTGTTCATGTTTTGTAGTTTTTGTTAAATTTAATAGTTTTCATTATCATAATCCTGATCCTTTTTTGCCATTGTTATTTTCAGGATCTCCGTTCATCAATGCCATCATCCATAAAGGATTTGATGAGCGTCATGCATATATCGGTGGCATGTTTGGAGCTGGCATATATTTTGCAGAGAACTCCTCTAAGAGTAACCAGTATGTCTATGGCATCGGAGGCGGCACTGGCTGCCCCACTCACAAAGACCGGTCCTGTTACCTGTGCCACAGGTACATGAACACACCTGATACAATAAGAAATGAAACATAAACAGTGCATTATGCGTTATTGCACTAGATGGTTTTCATAATCTCCTCTGTGTTGATTTCCAAAAGGCAAATGTTGTTCTGCCGTGTGACACTGGGAAAGTCCTTCCTGCAGTTCAGCGCCATGAAGATGGCCCACGCTCCCCCTGGGCATCATTCTGTGATCGGCCGTCCCAGTGTCAACGGTCTGGCCTACGCCGAGTATGTGATCTACCGCGGAGAACAGGTACGGCTGTAAAAGAAAAATTGCTTCTTAAAATGCATCCTGTTTTAAAGTATCACTGCTACAGCTATAGTCAGGTCAGCCTTTATTTAATAAAGCACTTTATACAATGCAGATTGTTTCAAAGCAGCTTCACGGTAATAAACATGAAAATAACAGAATTAGTGATGCAAACTTCATGAAATCTCTCTAAATATCTCTAAAATAGTGGTGGTTTTTTTTTCATTTTAAATGGTTAAATTAAAGTAATCAAAAAGCATGTCTAATTAATTTGAAATACATGAATTTAACTACATTTTATAAAAAAAAATATATATATATATATCTTTTTTTAGGTCCCTGTGAAATTATTTTTTCCCAAATTCTGTTTTATTTTTCCCAGATTACATGTTTTCTGCTATCATTTTTTATGGATTCTGTTGTAATGGTTAAATGAATCAAAAAGCATGTCTAATAAATTGAAATGAAAAGGCTTATACAATTGAACAACAATTAATTTAAAAAAAAAAAACTTAACAAAAAATCTAATTTTTAGGGCTATATGAAATAATTGTATTTTTTCTCAAATTCTTTTTTATTTTTCTCAAAATGTTTTATTTCTTTTTTTGGATTCTGAAAAATTCTCATCCAAATTTAACTTAAAGGGGTCATATGATGCTTTTTTAAAGATCATTA